CTGGTGTCATCTGCAAACTTACTAAGGCTGCTCTCCATCCCCTCATCCAAACCAGTATCTTGATGCTTGATATTGCTTTATTAGACTGTAAAGTATCTTGAAATGGGCTTATCTATGTCAAACAAAAGGGGCAGTTAGAAACTTCTATGTATATTGCCAAATCTTTCCACTGAGGTCCTCGGTACTAGTAGTGGTGTTTGTGCTAACAGTCTTTCCCAATTTTAGAGTTCTCATGAACCGTGAGAGTTGTATGTGTATGGGTAGATATGTTGTCCAATGAGATAGGCTGTTTCTTTATAATACATAGTGATTATCTAAGTCCACAACAGGAAGGCAGAAAAAGTGTCCATGCAAGTCATAACTTTCTCTTGAGTCTTATGTAAATGTGAAGAGAGAATGACTCATATGAACTTCACTTGAGTGTTTCAGAGTGGTGTTTTTCATTAAATTGGTTACCTAACAGTTAAACTATCAGAGTTATAATGAGGCAGAGGCAACATATTGTGGGAGGCATATTGAAAAGAAACCCAGGGTGCTAGGATGCATGAGACATCATTGAGAAGTTAAATCTCATGAACTGCATGTTCTGTGTGCAGTTGTTCATCATGGGACATCTTATTATGTTGATGTACCACCCTGCTCCAATATGTTTTTGTGGTACATCTAGGGAGTATCTTCATGGTAGAGGGTACTTTGGTTTAGATATTGAAGTCAGAGAAATGTGACTACTACTGGTAAGATACTGTTCCATCAAGCAGCAGTGGAAAAGATGAAAAGAACTATACTGAAACGATGCCAACAGCAATTAAAGCAATCAAAATTAGCTTTATACTACCTTTTTATGTTAGTTCTTTCTGGAATATGTTTCACATCTTTTATTTATTTTTATTATTGTATTTCTTTTTATTTTTGTAGGCTGTGGAAACCAACCTTGCATCAAAGGATAGTCACTGGGTCTATGTAAATGAGGTAAGAAAGTCAAAAGAGACAATATAGCTTGGTACATTCACTCATCACTGTCTTTTGTTTCATATGTTTTGACACACCAAACTGAGCATACACTTAGCATTTTTGCTGTTTGAATGGTACAAGATGCAAACTCTGTGTGTGGTGTCATTGCTTGTCTGTCTCAGTTGAATTGGCATAGGTTGAATACCAAAGGTCGAAATAAAGCTTCCAATATACCTCAGAGCAGCTGCAAGACTATTTTTGCCTTCATGTTGGCCCTACTTCATTAGCAATTTAGGAAGCAGAGAATATCTCAAAAGAAACCTTGAACATATGCACCTATATCTGCCAGAATCTCACCTTTCACTGCTATGAAAGCCTGCACTCAGATACCAGTAGAGGAAAGAGCACTGAGGCTAGTTGCAGGCTTAGCTCAGATTTACATGATACACAGGTTTTCTCTAGTGCAGAATTGTGTTGGTGTTTTGGCCAAGATCCAGGATAGCATTGATTTAAAAATTGATATTTCCTTTCTGCAGCAAATGGTATCCTGTCCTGCTACTGTTATTATTTATTTTACTGTAGTACCATGATGCCCTAATAGGAATTAGTGCAGACTTGTGTTTAAAAAGTAATGGAAAGCTTGAAATGTTGTGCCATATGTAATAATTTATAAATCACTGATTGTGCAAGATAAATGGCACTATTATTTATATTTCTGGTTTTAATAATGATTCATTAAAAGATAGTAAAATATCTGAGTTAAAAAGAACCGTGTTCACAGTTTTATTTTTACATTATAAATGCATAGTCTTTAATTTAATAACCAATTCCTTTGTTCATTTCTCATTTCTTTCTTTGCACCTAGCTAATAATTTTGGATAGGCTACTTTTAATAGTAACTATAAATTGTATTGTCTGGCATTAGAAAGGCTCTGTAACTAAACAGGGGTCAGGGAAAGCAAGTGAAAACTCTGCTTATAAAGGCTTTTTAAATTCCTTCTAGTCCTTGTTATGTTTAAGTATCTTCTGATTTGTCAGCTGCAGTAATGACCCACTACAAAATATCAGCAAGATGCCCAGGGAGTCAGTGTTTATGTTCACATAAAGATAATATAGTGTATATTTCCCTAAACATTTCTAGCGAGGGAGTGTTTGTGAATTTTTCATTGCTACTATTTTTGTCCAGATGTTAAAACTCACTTCAGGAAGGCTGAATCTGTAACATCACAAATAAAAAGCTCTCATGCACAAACATGTGCATACATACACAAACATATCACACATGGTGTTGACTCTGGCTAGAGATTGGGTAGGGAAGCTATGATAGCAAAATATAAATCTAAAGTATAACTTTTTAGTGAACAATATCAGTGCATATACTTACAAATATTTCAAAATGCAATTAAATTAAAACAGACAATTACAGAAACTTTTCAAATTCATGAAACTTTGGAGAACTCTTTGCAGGCAAAAAGACAAGGAAATGTCTTGATTATCCTTTTTTAATGGAAAAGTGTTGGTCTTTGTGTGCTTAAAGCTACTGTGAAAAGAAGATAAGTTAAGCATCTATGTGGTTGTATCTGTAGAAAGATGCAGGTTTCTTAGGGCTTGCTTCTTACTTAATAGTGTGCATACTCCCATGCTAGCGAGAGACTGATCATGCTTTCCGTGTACATATGTCCTGTATGTATCAATGAGAACTGCATGAGTACTTGATGGAAAATATGTTATTCCTTGACTGGATGTTGATTGGTGCTGTGATTTGCAGAATGGAATTAACTTTTAATTCCCAACAGTCAAATAAACTCTTTTTGATGTAATTCCACATGAGTAGCAAGCCAGGTGTACTCCATTCTGGAAAGGGACCAAACACTTTGCCAGTCCTTTTTTTCTCCCAGGCAGATTGAGGATCCTACATTTTTCTGTTCGCCTTATGGTCTGTGTGACCTAATGATCCCATTGCAAGGAAAGAGAAGTATAGGGTTGACTGACCTGAAGGGGCAGTAGTAGGAAGAGAACATAGTGATAATTATTTCCATTGAGATTTCTTGTATGAAGAGCATTAGATTGTAAATAGGCTCTTTAGGCCTTTCACACTTCAGGGAACCATTTAAGGCCCTGGTACATGTTAGGCTACTGAGGTCTACTGATCTTGAGCACCTTCTCACAACCTGCTTTGAACCTTGGACTTATCTTGCTGTAGTAAGAATGACTATATAGCACAGTATTATTTCAAGAAGAGATTTTATTATTGTCTTTCTTGAATTAAATCTACTTTACTCTCTCTGACAGTCCAATAAACATTGGGTGTTTTCTTTTTCCTTGTGCTTCTGTACCATATGGCAGGATAGGAGTCAAGTCTTGGAGTTTGAACATATTTTATTACTCCAGTTTCGTTAGGTAAGCAAGACCACAACACTTGTGATGAGCTAGCTTAAAACTGTAAGGGTGGTAAACTTATTATACAGCAAATGAACAAATGTGGGATGCAAGAGCTGGTCTCAAATTACAGATCTGTACTGTCAAGATCCTGCATTTGCTAGTTTCCAATAATCCAAGTCTCTGTGCTGACGTATTTGTTCAGTTTGGATGCCATTGGTGGTGCAAAGGGACTCAGTCATCTTTAGAAAAAGGCTAATGAATTGGGAGTTGGATTCATTGTATGGGATTCAAAGGATGAAATATTACATGGCAAGTCTTTCAGGATAAAAGAATACACAGGGATGAGTCTTTGCAGGCAATATCATTCCCTCATATGTCCTCTTTGAAACCAAAGTCATAACAAACCTTACTGTTTTAAAAATACATATTTGTAAGTATGTCTGTTTTTCTCATTTCAGACATTTTGTCTTTCACACTTTCAGACCTGTCAAAAGCAGTGATTTGAGAGAAAAAAAAAAAAAATTTCTAACCACCCTCCCCCTTTTAGATTTATATTTTATCATCTTCACTTTTATTCATCTAGACATACTAAATCATTCCTTGCATTCATTTAGGTAATGGTTCTCCCTGAATTCTGGGTTAAACATGCCGAGTAGCTTTTCAAAAGCAAGAATATTTGCGATTTCTGTATAAATCCTTGCAAAACCAAACAACTCTTTGGAACAATGACTGGTCCGTGCTTAGCTTTGTCTCCAGAATAGTCCAAAACATTTTATGACCATCAACTATTACTTTGATCTATTTGATGGATGGACCACTCAGTGGATAAAGAATTGGCTGCATGGTCACACTCAAAGAGCTGTGGTCAGCAGCTTGATGTCCTAGCGGAGACCAGTGATGAGTGGCGTTCCTCAGGGATTGGTATTGGAAGCGGTGCTGTTTAACATCTTCACCAGCGACATGGACAGTGGCGTTGAGTCCACCTTCAGCAAGTTTGCCGACGACACCAAGCTGTGTGGTGCAGTCGACATGCTGGAGGGAAGGGAGACCATCCAGAGGGACCTGGACAGGCTGGAGAGGTGGGCCTGTGCAAACCTCAGGAAGTTCAATAAGGCCAAGGGCAAGGTCCTGCACCTGAGCTGGGGCAATCCCAAGCACAGATACAGGCTGGGTGATGAGTGGATCTAGAGCAGCCCTGGGGAGAAGGACTTGGGGGTGCTGGTGAATGAAAAACTGAATATGAGCCAGCAATGTGTGCTTGCAGCCCAGAAAGCCAATTGCATCTTGGGCTGCATCAAGAGAAGCAGGTCAAGGGAGGTGATTCTGCCCCTCTACTCTGCTCTGGTGAGACCCCACCTGCAGTGCTGTGTTCAGCTCTGGGACCTCCAACATAAGAAGGACGTGGACCTGCTCGAGAGGGTCCAGAGGAGGGCCACGCAGATACTCAGGGGGCTGGAGCACGTCTGCTGTGAGGACAGGCTGAGTTGGGGTTGTTCAGCCTTGGAGAAGTCTCTGGGGAGACCTTCTAGCTGTCTTCCAGCACTTAAAGTGGGCCTACAGAAATGATGGGGAGAGGAGTCTTTACCAGGGAGTGTGGTGATAGGACAAGGGGTAACAGTTTCAAACTGAAAGGGGAGAGATTTAGATTAGATATTAGGAATAAATTGTTTGTGGTAAGGGTGGTGAGGCACTGGAACAGGTTGCCCAGAGAAGTTGTGGATGCCCTCTCCATGGAAGTGTTCAAGGCCAGGTTGGATGGGGCTTTGAGCAAGTGTTGGTGACGTGACCTACCAGCTTTGATAGATGTGTGCTATTTCTTCCTGTGGCATGACTGGCACAGTTGTAGATGCCCTTCCCCCTGCTTTTTGATGTTCATTTCCTGTCTTTTTTCCTGGTTTTCTTCCTTATTTTTATTTTTCTCTTGCATTTCTTTTTCTTTGTGCTTGACATCAAGTATCTCTGTCAGTTGCTCCTGACATTTTTCATTCTCCCTTCTCTTTTTTTGCCTGTTCAGAGAAAATGTTGTGCATTGCCCAGGGCATGTGTCTGTGGGAGAGGCACAAGGACAGCACTTGAAACTGCATTTGTATGTGGTTGTATCAGGAGCAATGCTCTAGGAGTCTGTGTCTGCTTTTTTATTAGGAGCAGGAGTAGGTCTGGGGATATAAATAGCACTAGAAATCATGTTTTCCTTTTTGTGGGGCATTTCATGGTTTTGAAATTTTCTCAATTCCAAGGGGAGAGAAAAGAGAAAAAGAATTGTTTTGCAAAACTGGAATTTGGACCAAAAAAATATATTCAAATTAAACAGTATTTTATTTTCTCATATAAATATATATTTAATTCTAATTCCAAGTTTCTAAACATTCATTATTTTTGCATGTGAATCAGTGAAGTACACAAAGCAATCAAGTACTCTTCATGGAAAGGGAATGGGTACTGAATTTGACAGGTAACTCAAGTTGTTTCACCGTTATCACATCCTTCCTTTAATTTCTTTTTCAACAAAATTTCATCACTATTCAGAAGTTTAATTGAAAGTTGTAAGACATGGCAGGACAAAGGACAGGATACTTGTTGAGATAGGAGATGGTTTTGCGTGAAGGACAGGTAGGAATGAAGAGAGGACAACATAA